ATCAAAGCTATACCCATGCATGGTTTCTTTTCCAGAAATGGTTTATCAAAGCTATACCCATGTATGGTTTCTTTTCCAAAAATGATTTATCAAAGCTATACCCATTCATGGTTTCTTTTCCAGAAATGGTTTATCAAAGCTATACCCATGCCGTAAAAACAGTTTCAGATAGTGTAAAGCTGACAGTGCAAGTTAAAAAGCTTTCAATTGATTTTTTTTTTTTTTTTAATTTTATTTTCTTTTTTTGAGATCTGCCCCATCTCTTCCGACTCTCGTAACTAAGCAAGGACACAATGAAGTGTAGGCACTTCCTTAGAAACGAACGTCGGAAAAGATGGAGAAGATCTCAAAACTAGAAAAAAAAAATTAACCTCAATTGAAGGCTTTTTTACTTGCACTCTCAGCTTTAATTACCTTTTTTGTCAGCGGTGCGGGGATCCTTAAGAGAACGAATTTGTTTAAAGGTTCGCAGTGAGACCTACCTTGATTGCCTTTACAGAACGTCGTCCCTATGGGGGTAAAGCGTTCTATGCATGCGCACACGCCTAGCACACACTCCGAATTGTGCACGCTGCACTCGCCTGTCTTACACGACTCACCGAGGACCCCTCCTGTAAGTACAATGACAATGTTATAAGGAAAAACTATTATATTTCAATACCAATATCTAATATAATGATAATATACAACATTTGATATAGCGCCCTATCTACCTAGAATAAGTCACTCTAAAGCGCTTTACAGTACATATCTATATAATTTATACAACAAGCATATACATTTATCAATACAGTTTTTAGGAATTCGCAGGAGCTGACTTATCAGGCGCTAACTACTAGTCTAATACCAACTGGGTAATACCACATGTGTGTATGCCTGCGTGTGTGCTGAAGATGTAATATGTTCTGTTTGTAGTGGGACCGTGCTTCCAACGGTATAATTTATAGTGCCACCTCACTTGAATGCTACGGCACTGATACAGTATACATATATACTGTAGTATATGTCAAGCAGTATGTATTGTCATATTATTCTGAAATGGCGTTGTATTGCAATATTTTGTCAACTTATTGGTTTAAACTCAGTAACGAATTACTGGTAATTTTACCGATAGAATTCATCGATGTTATCAATATTTAGATTACTTTTTCTGCTTCATTTCACTTTACAGAAAAAAAAATGATAAAATAATTCAAAATTTGTCATGGAAGGTTGCTGACCTGCTCAATTTTGGCATTTCTATATAAAATCATCATGAATTCACTGAATTTTTAGAATACACAATCTAATCAAAATTATATCGTCACATCGCTCCCGTTTACTGATATCACGCGACATATCTGATTTTAATTAGTTTTTAGAATACACTCACGGGGATTAATCCAATTTTCCTAAATATTGCAAAATACTGCAGTATGAAATTTATTTACAGTGTCCACCTCTACAATGTACATTGCATCACAGTAATAGAACACAATTGAGTCTGTGTATGGGAGTTTGAGCTATTCCTATTCCGCTGATCATTTGTGTACTGAAAAAAAGAGAAGTGTACATTCTAGTGGCGTCAAAAATCGAGGCATTACCAAGTGAGGCAAGGTAACAAAAAGGACATATATGACAGATAATATTTGATCGCACAGCAAAAAGGAATGGTATATGACAGAAATATGAGGGTAAATCTGGAGTGAGCTGACGAAATCTCAAACAGACAGTCCTTTGTATGAGTGTACCGTGATTTTCATAAGGACAAAATTCTAATGGTGAAAGAAAGTGATTTTTTTAATTAAAATATGACGCAAATTAAATGGCTATTTCAAAGAGAATGGACGGAATGAATCATCAGTAGCAAGTATCACTGTAAGGCACCTGTAAGAGGCTACATCAAAGGAAAGGCAAGGGTAGTAGGTGGTGAGCGCAACAACCACCTAATTTTCGGGCATCAAGATATAATTTTCAGGAACACGTACATAATTAATAGAAGGGGTTCTGTTCTTGAAATTATACCATGTTCCTGTACTTGTCTACTGGAAGATGTCATTTAAACCTAGATGATGATCTGCTTATTTGGGTTATTTTATCTTAATTCAGGCAATGGATTCATAATTGAGGCTGCGTTCTGTATCATTAGGTACACATGAGTAGATAAATTTGGTTGTTCCCAAAATTCAGATTCAATTGTCAAATTTTAGGTCATCTGTGCCCCCAGTGTATTTTGCCTCAACCTAGTACAGCAAGGATACAAAGGTGTATTACGGGATAGATAAGGTGGCACGTTACTTGACTTCCCGCGTGACCCATGCAGCACGACAGGCTAAGATGCCGTCTTCAATGAGGTTACTGGTGTAAAGGGAGACAGTAGCCATAGTAACGAAGCGAGTATTTGTTAGGATAATCAGTACGATGGTAGGTTCTCTATATGGTGTCTCAAATGATAATCAACAAACGTTTTTTCTCGAATTCAGATTCAGTGCTAGATCACATTTACATATTTAATACTTATATTTCCGTTTTTAATTTAAGTTTTTCTTATATTTCCAACCTGTTATCGTATTTCAAAGTCAAATTCCGCGCTGTCTGTCAATGGGACCTGTTCTTGTGATGTACACGTGACCGTTCCCGGCAAAAATATAGTTCGTGGAAATAAACACAAAATCATACTCGTTGTTTAATGGGTCAGAAATTTTTAATGCAAAATTTGTCATTTACTGGTAGACGACAATTGTTTCGTGACGTCTATAATACACTTAATATTGTGACGTCGGTAAAAACGACGTCATTTAGTCATGAGGTGACGAATATGTTCTTCATATCACTAAACCAATGGGAAATATGTGAGAATAATGATCCGATATCTTTCTATTTTGTTTCGTAAGGTTACATAGTGGCAATGCAGAGCAAATGGACATGTATAAAGTAAACTAACGTTATTTGGACTCAGAACTACCAAAGTTTCAAGGTCGAGTTACCTAGCGGTATTTCTATGCGATACCTACCTGTCACGCAGACGCCATTAGTGTTCTGCAGCCCTGGGTTACACTTGCAGTTACCCTGAACACACACAGTGTTCGCTGCTTTATCACAAAGAGTGTCCCGTCCACATCTGCCACCAATATCGCCTGTTACATAGCAACACAATGTAGTACGTCACTTGAGACTAATAAACAAAAAATCGTTGCCTTTGAATGCAGCGAATAGAAGATACCGTTATGATTGGTCAATACCAAAAAGTGATATTTGTCACAGTGTGAAAGATATCAGTTTTATCAAGTTTGATCATTTGTGTTTTTGTTTTCGCCTTGTTATCGTGACGATACACATCCTTTACACGACGATATGACCAATAGCTATGAACAGTCTACGGTGTAAAAAAAAATGACAACTTTAGCGCGCACAGAAAGAACGAACACAGAATTGACAATTAACACGCTATATAGGTTCGTGCTCTTGACATGCATATAAAATCAATGAGCGATTACAAGGTTAAGGGAAGAAAGAGGTTTGAAAATCGAAACGAAGAATGGCTGCCAGTTTGTTTATGTTCACAAAATAAGAAATGTCTACTGGTCCCTTGAGGGTTTTGAGGGGTCAACAGATGACGTTAATGGACCAATAAACTACGAGAATGACAGATTGGCTCCACTATGTGACTGGTTGTACCACTGTGGTAAAGTTTTGTAACATTAACCTTAACCTTCCTTGATCTGAGAAAGTTTTCTAAATCCCTGTTCATATCTACGCATCACAGAATATTTCCATGTAAAATTTCAGAAAGAAAAGTCATTAGAAAGGACAGAGACACAGAGAGACGGAAATAGTCAATACAGTAAGGCACTTGCATACTTGATGCGATGCTTCTAATGCATGCATAGTCAGTCAGAGGAACGACAAAGATAAATAGGACGAGTTGTCTTATTCCACATAAACTATACATAGATAAATAGGACGAGTTGTCTTATTCCACATAAACTATACATAGATAAATAGGACGAGTTGTCTTATTCCACATAAACTATACATAGATAAATAGGACGAGTTGTCTTATTCCACATAAACTATACATAGATAAATAGGACGAGTTGTCTTATTCCACATAAACTATACATAGATAAATAGGACGAGTTGTCTTATTCCACATAAACTATACATAGATAAATAGGCTACATACACTATAAAGAGAAACATTCGACTTTATATATTATGCTATTTACAGAAAAATGGGACGAACGACCGAGTGATACTGTTCACTGGCAGTCAGGAGTACTGCTCCCTGGTAGTCAGGAGTACTGTTCCCTGGCAGTCAGGAGTACTGTTCCCTGGTAGTCAGGAGTACTGTTCCCTGGCAGTCAGGAGTACTGTTTCCAGGCAGCCAGGAGTACTGTTTCCAGGCAGTCAGGAGTACTGTTTCCAGGCAGTCAGGAGTACTGCTCCCTGGCAGTCAGGAGTACTGTTCCCTGGTAGTCAGGAGTACTGTTCCCTGGCAGTCAGGAGTACTGTTCCCTGGTAGTCAGGAGTACTGTTCCCTGGCAGTCAGGAGTACTGTTCCCTGGCAGTCAGGAGTCATGCGCATTTGGGATCAAAGGACTTGGGGAGTTATGGGTCATATTTGGCCTCATAAAAAGTAAAAGTTTCAACTTGAATTTATTTACCAATATCTGTTATAAACAACATATTGGTTAAATGGTGCCATCTTTCTTGGTGCATATGGGAAGATGCCCTAACATAGCAACGAAATTGCGTTGTTATGCAGAAATAGCCAAAATATTGTGCTTTTGGACAGTTAGCATGCAGAAATGAAAGCCTTCGCATGTGACAAACAAATATTTCTTGCTACGAATGAACACGTATGGGACAATGTTTAAGCATGTCAAATATTATTTTGCTTGTTGCATGCGGAGGCTTTCAATTTTTTTTAAAGTGCCTAGCTAATTCCCTTCAAAATTGTCAGTTTTCAACCAAATAGCGCAAAACAGACAATATTCACGCATTTTATTATGAAAACGCGGGTTTATGTCTCTCTTTGTTATGCCATATCTCCTAAACCAGTTGTCGAATGAATTTGATATTTCATATTCGAGTACTTCATGTATTCCAGATTACGAATAAAGCAACTAAATATAAATCCCCGATGAGTCCAGAAATGACCCTAAACGCCCCCAGTCATTGGAACCAATCATTTTTGTTTGCATTTTGTTTCAAATGTGGCTATGATAACAAATCAAATCCTATCTTGTTTAAAAGTGGAAACTTACACCTGTCGAAATGTTCACTTTGTGACTTTTTAAACGGATTGATTTGGGGATTTTTTTTATCTACAAATACAAATTTGTGTGTGAAATCTCTGGACAGATTTAATAAACGTGAAAAACTCGTAAAAAACTTTCCACAGCGCGAACATTTCCCACCTTAATGAGAATTGATTTTGACGTACCTGGACAAAGCAGCCGAATGATCGGATTCTCTAACACATCGTCTCTGAAGAAATTGAAATCGCGAAGGGTCAAGGCACGTTTATATCGTTCATTTGGCGGATGTTGAACAATACTACTAACAGCTCGGTCTGTAGAACTGAATGGCTTTCCTAAACCAATTGCGTACATGATGATACCAGCCGCAGCATTAGTCGCACTCGCCGTATCTAGTGCTAGGCTGCTAAAAGGACTAGCGTCTAACACAAGGCCTAGTTTGGCTACGTTTGGTCTCTGGTTACTGGAGAACTGTGTCCTTATTTGATCGACACCTAGAAAATTAAGATAAAATAAAAATAAATTGAAAACTAGAAAAAGGCCACTGACAATAATATCAACTTTTTTGATAAATAAATCCCAAATTATATTAGTTGATACACGTACTCTGGTTGACCAGCGCTTTGTTGAGATTAGGGGTAAGATTGTCGAGCAGAATGGAGGCATTCCAATGGGAACACCAGTTGCTCCCATTCAGGGCCCGTATTCATGAAACCGTTCTCGTGCTCAAGCATAGATTCTGTGCTAAAACCAACTTTCTTGCAACTCGCTGAAATCATGTCAAACGATCAAAAGTCAAATATAAACATTGAAAACAGTATTAGGCGTCAACTCGCTTCAAGGTTTTCCCAAATCATTGACCAATTAAGATTTTCTTAACAATTTAAAGACCGAACAAGAAATTCGACTTGAGCACCAAATCCATGCTTGAGCACGAGAACGGTTTCATGAATACGGGCCCTGGCCGATCTTTGATGAGGCTGAGTTAATTTAGGATAGTATCAAAACTAAATAAACCCTGCCAAGTCCTATACATTCACGTTCAGATCGATGCTGCTCTGTCATTAAATAACAAGACTTTTATTGACCGCGTCGATCGTATAAACCTTTCTGAACTTGAAATCAAGGAAACAACATTTACGTAAGCTTCGTGTTGGCTGTCTGTTTCATCTACTACTGATTCACAGGCCGTGAACTTATAGGACCTTGCATTGATTCACATGTTCAAAGTTACTTTTATCTGTAATTGATTCATGTGTTCAAATTCTTTTTAATATGTCAGGTACTCGCGTGTCAAAACATATTTTATCCATCAATGATTCACCTGTCAAAATCCATTTTATTTCTTTTTGGTTCACATGTCCAAAATATTTTATATGTAATTGATTCACATCATAGATAAATAATCTATTTATTTATTAATGATTCACAAGTAAAAATTAATTCTATCCATCACTGATTTAATGTCAAAAGTTTTTTTGTGATCTGTCTTTGATTCACGTATCCAAAATTTATTTGATCTACCAATGATTCACGTATCGAAAATCTATTTGATCTACCAATGATTCACGTATCGCAAATCTATTTGATCTACCAATGATTCACGTATCGAAAATCTATTTGATCTAACAATGATTCACGTATCGAAAATCAATTTGATCTACCAATGATTCACGTATCGAAAATCAATTTGATCTACCAATGATTCACGTATCGCAAATCTAATTGATCTACCAATGATTCACGTATCGAAAATCTATTTGATCTACCAACGATTCACGTATCGAAAATCTAATTGATCTACCAATGATTCACGTATCGAAAATCTATTTAATCTACCTATGATTCACATGTCCAGATTGTCAGCTTAACGTCGATGATCAGGAAATGGGGAGGATTTAAAAACAAACTAATTTGGTCCCTCGAAATGTGTTCTTACTCATGAAATGTAAAACCTGGACATGTGAATCCACCAAACAGAGTTAATGAACAACCTACACTTAACTTTAAGATCATCTTTTTATTCGCTGTTTCGCTCAACAATACCAAATATATGGGCATATTTCGATCATCTACCATATCCAAAAGGATTGGACCATCGAGGCATGTGACTTTATGGACCTGGTCAAGGATTGAACCATCGAGGCACGTGACTTTATGGACCTGGTCAAGGATTGAACCATCGAGACATGTGACTTTATGGACCTGGTCAAGGATTGAACCATCGAGGCACGTGACTTTATGGACCTGGTCAAGGATTGAACCATCGAGACATGTGACTTTATGGACCTGGTCAAGGATTGGACCATCGAGGCATGTGACTTTATCGACCTGGTCAAGGATTGAACCATCGAGGCATGTGACTTTATGGACCTGGTCAAGGATTGAATCATCGAGACATGTGACTTTATGGACCTGGTCAAGGATTGGACCATCGAGGCATGTGACTTTACGGACCTGGTCAAGGATTGGACCATCGAGGCATGTAACGTTTTATAATGTAATATTGTATTAAACTTTGTAATTGTTTCCTTTACAGCGATGTTCATTATTTATGAGCTTTACAGTGATGTTTTCATTGTTATTCTGATATTCGGTAACTAATAACAACCTTTGATCGAAGCAGTTTCAGGTGTATGGTTTGAAAAAAATAATCCAATATTTGCATTTAATTGTATTGTAAGATTGCACGTTGATTATATAGCCATGTTAAATTTAGTGATACAAGCACCGCCCAGATAATCCAATACACAGTTTTTCAAGCTGGATTCACCTTGAGCAATTTGGGCATTTCCCTGTATTGCACTCTGGTCCATCACAGCATCAATGGCGGTATTCAGGCTAGCCAGGGTGGTGTGGTCATTTCGGTCAAAATTCGTGATAACAGCATTTGTCGTCATGCTAACCAATCAAATGGAAACTTATACATCATACTAACAAATCAAATGGAAACTTATACATCATACTAACAAATCAAATGGAAACTTATACATCATACTAACAAATCAAATGAAAACTTATACGTCATACTAACAAATCAAATGGAAACTTATACGTCATACTAATCAATCAGATGGAAACTTATACGTCATACTGACCAATCAAATGGAAACTTAAACGTCATACTGACCAATCAAATTGAAACTTATACGTCATACTAACCAATCAAATGGAAACTTAAACGTCATATAACCAATCAAATGGAAACTTATACATCAGTTTATTATTACATTTGTCGTCATGCTAACCAATCAAATGGAAACTTAAACGTCATACTAACCAATCAAATGGAAACTTATACATCAGTTTATTACTCCATTTGTCGTCTCTAACCAATCAAATGGAAACGTATACATCAGTTTATTACTACATTTGTTGTCATACTATCCAATCAAATGGAAACTTATACATCAGTTTATTACTACATTTGTCGTCTCTAACCAATCAAATGGAAACGCATACATCAGTTTATTACTACATTTGTTGTCATACTAACCAATCAAATGGAAACGTATACATCAGTTTATTACTACATTTGTCGTCATACTAACCAATCAAATGGAAACTGATACATCAGTTTATTATTACATTTGTCGTCATACTAACCAATCAAATGGAAACTTATACATCAGTTTATTACTACATTTGTCGTCATACTAACCAATCAAATGGAAACTTATACATCAGTTTATTACTACATTTGTCGTCATACTAACCAATCAAATGGAAACTTATACATCAGTTTATTACTACATTTGTCGTCATACTAACCAATCAAATGGAAACTTATACATCAGTTTATTACTACATTTGTCGTCATACTAACCAATCAAATGGAAACTTATACATCAGTTTATTACTACATTTGTCGTCATACTAACCAATCAAATGGAAACTTATACATCAGTTTATTACTACATTTGTCGTCACTAACCAATCAAATGGAAACTTATACATCAGTTTATTACTACATTTGTCGTCATACTAACCAATCAAATGGAAACTTATACATCAGTTTATTACTACATTTGTCGTCATACTAACCAATCAAATGGAAACTTATACATCAGTTTATTACTACATTTGTCGTCATACTAACCAATCAAATGGAAACTTATACATCAGTTTATTACTACATTTGTCGTCATACTAACCAATCAAATGGAAACTTATACATCAGTTTATTACTACATTTGTCGTCATACTAACCAATCAAATGGAAACTTATACATCAGTTTATTACTACATTTGTCGTCATACTAACCAATCAAATGGAAACTTATACATCAGTTTATTACTACATTTGTCGTCATACTAACCAATCAAATGGAAACGTATACATCAGTTTATTACTACATTTGTCGTCATACTAACCAATCAAATGGAAACTTATACATCAGTTTATTACTACATTTGTCGTCACTAACCAATCAAATGGAAACTTATACATCAGTTTATTACTACATTTGTCGTCATACTAACCAATCAAATGGAAACGTATACATCAGTTTATTACTACATTTGTCGTCATACTAACCAATCAAATGGAAACTTATACATCAGTTTATTATTACATTTGTCGTCATACTAACCAATCAAATGGAAACTTATACATCAGTTTATTACTACATTTGTCGTCATACTAACCAATCAAATGGAAACTTATACATCAGTTTATTACTACATTTGTCGTCATACTAACCAATCAAATGGAAACTTATACATCAGTTTATTACTACATTTGTCGTCATACTAACCAATCAAATGGAAACTTATACATCAGTTTATTACTACATTTGTCGTCATACTAACCAATCAAATGGAAACTTATACATCAGTTTATTACTACATTTGTCGTCACTAACCAATCAAATGGAAACTTATACATCAGTTTATTATTACATTTGTCGTCATACTAACCAATCAAATGGAAACGTATACATCAGTTTATTACTACATTTGTCGTCATACTAACCAATCCAATGGAAACTTATACATCAGTTTATTACTACATTTGTCGTCATACTAACCAATCAAATGGAAACGTATACATCAGTTTATTACTACATTTGTCGTCATACTAACCAATCCAATGGAAACTTATACATCAGTTTATTACTACATTTGTCGTCATACTAACCAATCAAATGGAAATGTATACATCAGTTTATTACTACATTTGTCGTCATTAACCAATCAAATGGAAACTTATACGTCAGTTTATTACTACATTTGTCGTCTCTAACCAATCCAATGGAAACTTATACATCAGTTTATTACTACATTTGTCGTCATACTAACCAATCAAATGGAAATGTATACATCAGTTTATTACTACATTTGTCGTCATACTAACCAATCCAATGGAAACTTATACATCAGTTTATTATTACATTTGTCGTCATGCTAACCAATCCAATGGAAACTTATACATCAGTTTATTATTACATTTGTCGTGATGCTAACCAATCAAATGGAAACCTATACATCAGATTATTTTTGCATTTGTCGTCACTAACCAATCAAATGGAAACTTATACATCAGTTTATTTTTGCATTTGTCGTCACTAACCAATCAAATGGAAACTTATACATCAGTTTATTATTACATTTGTCGTCATGCTAACCAATCAAATGGAAACCTATACATCAGTTTATTTTTGCATTTGTCGTCACTAACCAATCAAATGGAAACTTATACATCAGAATATTACTACATTTGTCGCCATACTAACCAATCCAATGGAAACTTAGACATCAGTTTATTTTTAAATTTGTCGTCATACTAACCAATCAAATGGAAACCTATACATCAGATTATTTTTGCATTTGTCGTCACTAACCAAGCAAATGGAAACTTATACATCAGTTTATTATTCCATTTGTCGTCATGCTAACCAATCAAATGGAAACTTATACATCAGTTTATTATTACATTTATTTCATTCGATACAAATAATCAGATCGCGGCCGACTGAAGCAACGAAAATAATATTCAGAATCAAGTTGTGAAACTTATATAGATCTGTTAATCTCAAAGAAATGTCATGGACAGACAGGAAAGTTGATTGAACAAAATGGATGCAACTGATCGCAACAACGTTTCAATATTTGTACAAATCGGTTCCATAAATAAAAGATCTTACCCATGTGTGATAATTTAAAATCAAATAAGCGTTAACTATGCAAACATTCTTGTCATCAAAGAAATGTTACTGATTTCAGCCAAAGTTAGGTAGCATATAACTCCTTAAACCTGAAGTATTTGATATTAAACAAAGATACTTACGTGACATATCTTATATCATATGAAGGTAACCCCTTAACTCAATCTGAAGCTTAAACATATTCAAAGACGTAACATATAAACATCCGGGTACCTACTCACATGATATACCCTATATTGTGTAATTAAATCTGAAGCTAAAACATTTTCAATGACGTCAAATATAAACATCCGGGTACCTACTCACGTGATATTCCCTATATTGTGTAATTAAATCTGAAGCTAAAAGATATTCAATGACGTCACATATAAACATCCGGGTACCTACTCACGTGATATTCCCTATCTTGTGTAACTAAATCTGAAGCTTAAACATATTCAATGACGTCACATATAAACATCCGAGTACCTACTCACGTGATATTCCCTATCTTGTGTAACTAAATCTGAAGTTAAAACATATTCAATGACGTCACATATAAACATCCGGGGACCAACTCACGTGATATACCCTATATTGTGTAATTAAATCTGAAGCTAAAACATATTCAATGACGTCACATATAAACATCCGGGTATTTACTCACGTGCTATTCCCTATCTTGTGTAACTAAATCTGAAGCTAAACATATTCAATGACGTCACATATAAACATCCGGGTACCTACTCACGTGATATTCCCTATTTTGTGTAACTAAATCTGAAGCTAAAATATATTCAGTGACGTAACATATAAACATCCGGGTACGGTACCTACTCACGTGATATACCCTATCCTGTGTTGACCTCCTATGTCCAGCTGCGCTGCTATGGCTTTCAACACTCGATTGATTTCCTCCACGGATGATGGTATTACACGAGCTGTATCCTCGCTGGCAAATACCAAGTCAAACGGGGTGTTTATACACTCTGGGATAACAAAGAGTAAGACTCAATATGTTGACCAATGACGCTTTTAGAAAAATAAAAAACACCAAAACAACACCAGATTGTCGACCAAATAAATATAGACTTTATTTATTTAACAACAATGTATCGAAAATCTATTTGATCTACCAATGATTCACGTATCGAAAATCTATTTAATCTACCAACGATTCACGTATCGAAAATCTATTTGATCTACCAATGATTCACGTATCGAAAATCTATTTGATTTACCAATGATTCATGCACGTATCGAACATCTATCTGATCTACCAACGATTCACGTATCGAAAATCTATTTGATTTACCAATGATTCACGTATCGAAAATCTTCTTTATCTACCAATGATTCGCGTATCGAAAATCTATTTACTATACCAACGATTCGCGTATCGAAAATCTATTTGATCTACCAATGATTCACGTATTGACAATCTTTTTAATCTACCAACGATTCACGTATCGAAAATCTATTTAATTTACAAATGATTCACGTATCGAAAATAAATTTAATCTACTAATGATTCACATGTCCAAATTGTTAGCTTAACGTCGATGATCAGGGAATGGCGTGTATTTAAAAATATATATGCTTTACTTACTTTTAGGGACAGCATAGTACCCCCGTATCATTCCTAGTAAGGCCACAAGGGCAACACACCACTGAAACAGACAAAAAAGTACTGAAACAGACAACACACCACTGAAACAGACAACACACCACTGAAACAGACAATTTGCTAATGAAACAGGAAAGTCATGTTGAAACAGACAATTTATTACTGAAACAGACAATTTGCTAATGAAACATGAAAGTCATATTGAAACAGACTATTTATTACTGAAACAGACAATTTGCTAAAGAAACAGGAAAGTCATATTGAAACAGACTATTTATTACTGAATCATACAATGTATTACTGAAACAGACAATTTGCTAATGAAACAGGAAAGTCATATTGAAACAGACTATTTATTACTGAAACAGACAATTTGCTAATGAAACAGGAAAGTCATATTGAAACAGACTATTTATTACTGAAACAGACAATGTATTACTGAAACAGACAATTTGATATTGAAACAGACAATTTATTACTGAAACAGACAATTTGCTAATGAAACAGGAAAGTCATATTGAAACAGACAATTTATTACTGAAACAGACAATTTGCTAATGAAACAGGAAAGTCATATTGAAACAGACTATTTATTACTGAAACAGACAATTTGCTAATGAAACAGGAAAGTCATATTGAAACAGACTATTTATTACTGAATCAGACAATGTATTACTGAAACAGACAATTTGCTAATGAAACAGACAATTTATTACTGAAACAGACAATTTGCTAATGAAACAGGAAAGTCATATTGAAACAGACAATTTATTACTGAAACAGACAATTTGCTAATGAAACAGGAAAGTCATATTGAAACAGACTATTTATTACTGAAACAGACAATTTGCTAATGAAACAGGAAAGTCATATTGAAACAGACAATTTATTACTGAAACAGACAATTTGCTAATGAAACAGGAAAGTCATATTGAAACAGACTATTTATTACTGAAACAGACAATTTGCTAATGAAACAGGAAAGTCATATTGAAACAGACTATTTATTACTGAAACAAACAATTTGCTAATGAAACAGGAAAGTCATATTGAAACAGACTATTTATTACTAAAACAAACAATTTGCTACTGAAACAGGAATGGAATACTGAAACAGACAATTTATAACTGAAACTGGAATGGATTTCTGAAAAAGACAATGTTTTACCGAAACAGACAATTTATTACTGAATCAGACAATGTATTACCGAAACAGACAATTTATAACTGAAACGGGAATGGATTTCTGAAACAGACAATGTATTACCGAAACAGACAATGTATTACTGAAACAGACAAACTGAAACAGACAATGTATTACCGAAACAGACAATTTATTACTGAAACAGAAAATATATTACTTAAACAGACAATGTATTACCGAAACAGACAATGTATTACTGAAACAGACAAACTGAAACAGACAATGTTTTACTGAAACAAACAATGTATTACCGAAACAGACAATGTATTACTGAAACAGACAATGTATTACTGAAACAGACAATATATTACTGAAACAGACAATGTATTACCGAAACAGACAATGATTTACTGAAACAGACAATGTATTACCGAAACAGACAAAGACAATGTATTACCGAAACAGACAATGTAGTACTGAAACAGACAATGTATTACTGAAACAGACAATGTATTACCGAAACAGACAATTTATTACTGAAACAGACACTTAATTACTAACAAACAAATTAATACTGAAACAGGAAAGTACAATTTAAACATATAATTTATTACTGAAACAGGAATGGATTTCTCAAACAGACAATTTATTACTGAAAAAGACAAAGTATTACTTAAACAGTAAAGTATTATTGAAACAGTCAATTTATTATTGAAACAGAGAATTTATTACTGAAACGGGAATGGATTTCTGAAACAGACAATTTGATTCTGAAACAGGAATGGATTTCTGAAACAGACAATTTATTACTGAAACATGAAAGTACTATTGAAACAGACAAATTATTACTGAAACAGGAAAGCATTATTGAATTAGAGAATTTATTACTGAAACAGGTATGGATTTCTGAAACAGACAATCTGATACTGAAACAGGAATGGATTTCAGAAACAGACAATTTATTACTGAAACAGGAAAGTACTATTGAAACAGAAAAATTATTACTGAAACAGGAAAGCATTATTGAAACAGACAATTTATTATTGAAACAGGAAAGTACTATTGAAACAGAAAAATTATTACTGAAACAGGAAAGCATTATTGAAACAGAGAATTTATTATTGAAACAGAGAATTTTTTACATAAACAGGAATGGATTTCTGAAACAGACAATTTATTACTGAAACAGGAAAGTACTATTGAAACAGACAAATTATGAATGAAACAGGAAAGCACAATTGAAACAGACAATTTATTATTGAAACAGGAAAATACACTTTTTTGAAACAGACACTATTTCACTGATACAAACGGTTGCGTGTAGGATATCTTGTGATAAATCAGATTATACCACAAACATAAACCTAGCGTGGGAAAGGGTTTCTTTCATCCTCTTGCAGATAACAAAGACACAATAACAGAAATAATCAAACTGATAACAGTTGTTAGTGTATAGTATTCCTCCTGTGTGGTATTGAGTATGAGAAGTAAAAGCCTCTAAACGTCATGTAGTTAAGAACCATGTATAATTTTGCCAAAATGTTGTATCAGAACCATTACACTGAAACAATACTATGATTATGTCTTAGAAGCATTCGAAAGCTGAATATATTGACTGAAGTTGTCTTTTACATATAAACCTCCTCAATCATTGTATATCCTCTGTCACATATACACCTCCTCAATCATTGTCTATCCTCTGTTACATATAAACCTCCTCCATCCTTGTCTATCCTCTGTTACATATAAACCTCCTCCATCCTTGTCTATCCTCTGTTACATATAACCCTCCTCCATCATTGTCTATCCTCTGTCACATATCAACCTCCTCCATCATTGTCTATCCTCTGTCACATATAACCCTCCTCAATCATTGTATATCCTCTGTCACATGTAAACCTCCTCAATCATTGTCTATGCTCTGTTACATATAAACCTCCTCCATCCTTGTCTATCCTCTGTTACATATATACCTCCTCAATCATTGTCTATCATCTGTTACATATAAACCTCCTCAATCATTATTTATCCCCAACCTCTATACAGTCATTACAATTCAATATTGACTTTTTATTGCAATGTTAGACTAATGTTGCTTTCATAAACACAAAATAAAGAAATTGACCGAATTTTTGAAATAGTCCTGTATCATTGTTTACCTGTATCACTGTTATACCTGTATCATTGTTTACCTGTATCATCATTGTTTTACCTGTATCATTATCATTGTATATCCTCTGTCACATATACACCTCCTCAATCATTGTCTATCCTCTGTCACATATAACCCTCCTCAATCATTGTATATCCTATGTCACATATAAACCTCCTCAATCATTTTCTATCCTCTGTTACATATATACCTCCTCAATCATTGTCTATCCTCTGTTACATGTAAACCTCCTCCATCATTGTCTATCCTCTGTTACATGTAAACCTCCTCCATCATTGTCTATCCTCTGTTACATTTAAACCTCCTCAATCATTGTCTATCCCCTGTCACATATAAACCTCCTCAATCATTATTTATCCCCAACCTCTATACAGTCATTACAATTCAATATTGACTTTTTATTGCAATGTGAGACTAATGTTGCTTTCATAAACACAAAATAAAGAAAGTGACCGAATTTTTGAAATAGTCCTGTATCATTGTTTACCTGTATCATCATTGTTTTACCTGTATCATTGTTTACCTGTATCACTGTTATACCTGTATCATTGTTTACCTGTATCATTGTTTTGCCTGTATCATTGTTTACCTGTATCACTGTTTTACCTGTATCATTGTTTTCCCTGTATCATTGTTTACCTGTATCACTGTTTTACCTGTATCATTGTTTTACCTGTTATACCTCCTCAATCATTGTCTATCCTCTGTTACATATAAACCTCCTCAATCATTGTTTATCCCCAACCTCTATACAGTCATTACAATTCAATATTGACTTTTTATTGCAATGTGAGACTAATGTTGCTTTCATAAACACAAAATAAAGAAAGTGACCGAATTTTTGAAATAGTCCTGTATCATTGTTTACCTGTATCATTGTTTTACCTGTATCATTGTTTTACCTGTATCATTGTTTACCTGTATCATTGTTTTACCTATATCATTGTTTTACCTGTATCATTGTTTTACCTGTATCACTGTTTGACCTGTATCATTGTTTTACCTGTATCATTGTTTACCTGTATCATCATTGTTTTACCTGTATCATTGTTTTACCTGTATCATTGTTTACCTGTATCACTGTTATACCTGTATCATTGTTTACCTGTATCATTGTTTTACCTGTATCATTGTTTACCTGTATCATTGTTTTACCTGTATCATTGTTTAACCTGTTTTACCTAAATCATTGTTTTACCTATATCATTGTTTTACCTGTATCACTGTTTTACATGTATCATTGTTTACCTGTATCATTGTTTACCTGTATCATTGTTTACCTGTATCATTGTTTTACCTGTATCATTGTTTTACCTGTATCATTGTTTTACCTATATCATTGTTTTACCTGTACATTGTTTTACCTATATCATTGTTTTACCTGTATCATTGTTTACCTGTATCATTGTTTTACCTGTATCATTGTTTTACCTATATCCTATTAATGATAAAACATTTAATGTTGGTGAGCAGAACTGATTTTTGTATTTTCATTCCAAATGGAACGACACAGTCATTTCTGTAAATTGTGTTTTAAATAGGAAACAAATCTATATTTCTTTTCCATATGCACAACTTCGTGAACGTTGCACCGGAGGAGTTTTTGCCATTTTGACCTTATCTCATATTGCATGATGGTTTAACCAAAATGACATCTCTACTAAGAATTATATATAATGAATATATAATATTGTATAAGATTTCAAATCCTTTCTTGTAATTCCTTCAAATACAAATTACATTTTACAGCCAGAGACCGAAGTAGGCCCTCACTGCAAGGTCTCCGAAAAAAACCTAGAAAATGTCTAGCAAAAGCAAAAGCACATCTAGTACAGTATCAGGGCCATCCCTGGCCCCTCCAGCCGAGGCCTTCCCTGGCCCCTCTAGCCGAGACCTTCTCTGGCCCCTCTAGCCGAGGCCTTCCCTGGCCCCTCTAGCCGAGGCCTTCTCTTGCCTCCCTCTCCAGAGGCTCACACTCCCGAACCTCGACTTCCAGCTGTCAACTCTAGGCTCCAGACTCTCGACTCCCTATAAGATTCTCCCTCGAGTACCTTTAACAATCTATACAACATTAGCTATTCGTGAGCACGTACCACCTTTGAACATAAGTATAAGACACGTGTGCCATTCCTATCTAACTTCTAGGCTGACTTTCCCCTACCGAAACAGCAACACTAGAATACCATATGGCAATCCAACAGCTCCTCCGCCAATCAATTAACGGGGTTACCCAGATCGTAAGATTAGAACTCAGATTTACCGTTGACCAAAGTGCTGCTATCTATTGATACCCGCTGTCTTACATGGTATAAGATGATTACATTATTCATCATTAATTACCTAATCATTGGCCAATATTACAGCATGTTTACAGGAAATATTACACGTACCTTTAACATCGCCATCCTCCGACTTCTGACGACCGATCAAAAAGATCCAAGGGATTTTACCCAAGGCAGTCGTCATTCATCATTTAATACCACACCTTATTTAAATACAGCATACCAAGTTCAATATCATCCTATCAATATAGCATAACGCGTGAGGAAGCTCAGACGACACAGGTTTATTTATAGCACTGAAGTCAGGGAGATATGAAACATTACTTGTCTAGTTTTGAAATCATGAAAAAAATATGCACCTTCATCTCTGTTTTAGCAGTAGTTTATATATATTTAGATGTCCCACTTTTAGGCCCTCAGCATCACTGGTGAGTCGTTGAAGGACGGAATAGATGTTTAGTAGGTGAAATAGATGTTAGTAAGTGCAATTCTTTCATTCTCTCTCTCCCTCCCTCCGTCTGTTTCTCTGTCTGTCTGTCTGTGTCTTTCTGTCTGTCTGTCTGTCTGTCTCCCTCCCTCTCTCTCTGTCTGTTTGTTTCAGTCTGTCTCTGTCTGTCTGCCTGTCTCCCTCCCCCCCCCCTCTCTTTCTTTCTCTGTCTCTCTCTCTCTCTCTCTCTCTGAATACAATACATTAATAACATATTTATTTTCTTACCGTCATGTAACAATTGTGTATTATTATATTTGTCTGTATTACGGGAGAAGTCAATTAATAAGTTGGAAAAACTTACCGACTAATCCCTTTGTCAATATGATGTCAGTAAAATATGTTTAAACATAACCAAAATCTACAGGTAAATTGTACGGTAAATTTACATGTGTGATTCTTACGTTCGTCTTACCAAGAAATAGTATTACCAGTGCCTACTCGTCAGATCATTAACATTAGACAGGTCTATTTATTCTCAAATATATAAATGATTAATGATAATATTCGAGGTTCTTATATACTGCTTTATCACAACCTAGTTCGTAGGTCGTCTCAAAGTTGTTCACAAATTATCATCCGTGGTTATAGGGCATTTGCAACCAGCCAACAGCTTGCTCAAATCCCTGGAGAACATACAGCTTGGGCTGGCATTTCGGCGCTCACAGCTAACATTCAACAATTCCAGCACTACCCAGCCACGTACTCATTTACAGCTGAGTAGACTGGAACAAGCGGAGTAAAGTATCTTGCTCAAAGATACAACACAGTGCCGTGACGTGACTCGAACCCGCAACCCGTCGGAAGATGAACAAGAATTGTACGCATTCGGTGTGACATCTTCACCATTCTCTTAAAGTTTTCCTAACATTTTTCTCGTATGATTGTTTGGAATTGATAAAAAAAAATAAAAAACAGTTTCCCTAATATTTGTTTCTCTGTTCCCTTTCCCCCTTTGTAATGACATTTGGATACCCAACCATTTCCCTAGCTTTCCATGTACTTACATAATGTCTTTCTAGATTTATATAACACAGTGCTACTTGCAAACGACATACCTTTAGTGGTTTACCATTTACTATTGCGCGTTGTTTCCTTCTCTTGGTGGCCGTTCGTGTTTCCCTCTCTTGGTGGCCGTTCGTGTTTCCTTCTCTTGGTGGCCGTTCGTTTTTCCTTCTCTTGGTGGCCGTTCGTTTTTCCTTATCTTGGTGGCCGTTCGTGTTTCCTTCTCTTGGTGGCCGTTCGTTGAGCAGTTCGTCTGACCGTACGGTGCTGCATGTTTCGTTTCTGAATCAACGAGTATGCGAGGTGAGGCCCTCCTACATAAGTTAACAACTTCTCATTACATTTGCTCTACCATGCCCCTACACATTATTTCGACTTTCCTCATATTCGTTCGTTTGATTGTTGATATTTTTTCTCTTCATTCCATTGATAAGCAACATGACCCTTACAGCCACATTGCTCCCATTGTTCCCAACGTTCCCATTGTTCCCATTGCTCCAATTGTTCCCATTGCTCCCATTGTTCCCATTGTCATTGGCTTTCACATTTATGCACTTTTTTTTTTTAAATTTTACATATTTTCAAACTTATGAATCTTATTGAATCAGTTTGGCACCATCGTATCGTCTCCGAATTCTAGTTCAATGTTAATGGTCCATATCATTTGTATTGTAATACCTTAACTCATTCACCCCTGAAGACACATTTGAACTCTTCCAATTCAAAAGTTCAAACAGTTCATGGTGTAATTTCAGGGGTGAATGAGTTAAAGGCTGGTATTATTTATCTTCTCCAAATCGTGGTATAATCCGACCTATACTACTTTATTCTTTAACCTTTTTATCCTCCAAATCGTGGTATAATCCGACCTATATTACTTTATTCTTTAACCTTTTTATCCTCCAGATCGTGGTATAATCCGACCTATACTACTTTATTCTTTAACCTTTTTATCCTCCAAAACTTGGTATAATCCGATCAATATTAATTCTTCTTATTTTTCATTTTTCTCCAAATCTTGATAAAATCCAGTCTTTAAAGAAAAGTTTCTGACTAGCCCGTAAGCATGTTACTGTCACTAGTAACGGATGTGTCTAACCTTAGCTGACATCTATAGGGAAGTAGCCCAAGGCGTATTCTATATCGTATTGAACGTCAACACCAGGATATTTCCCTGACGACTGTAACCTTATTAGATTTCTGTTTTTATGAAAATGAATGAAATTCTAAGCAAACTTCACTCACTGTCGATTTTGAACACACAAAAGAACATATATCTTATGAGTTTCCAATAAAAGTCTCCAGTAGTATTGTAGGGAATTATTAAATATTGGAACTCCACATCTGATATACAACACAGAGCGCTGGAACAGACAATATTGGAACTCCACATCTGATATACAACACAGAGCGCTGAAACAGACAATATTGGAACTCCACATCTGATATACAACCCAGAACACGGGGACAGACAATACTGGAACTCCACATCTGATATACAACACAGAACACTGGGACAGACAATAGTGGAATTCCACATCTGATATACAACACAGAACACGGGGACAGACAATATTGGAACTCCACATCTGATATACAACACAGACCACTGGGACAGACAATACTGGAACTCCACATCTGATATACAACACAGAACACGGGGACAGACAATACTGGAACTCCACATCTGATATACAACACAGAACACTGGGACAGACAATACTGGAACTCCACATCTGATATACAACACAGAACACGGGGACAGACAATACTGGAACTCCACATCTGATATACAACACAGAACACTGGGACAGACAATACTGGAACTCCACATCTGATATACAACACAGAACACTGGGACAGACAATACTGGAACTCCACATCTGATATACAACACAGAACACTGGGACAGACAATACTGGAACTCCACATCTGATATACAACACAGAACACTGGGACAGACAATACTGGAACTCCACATCTGATATACAACACAGAACACTGGGACAGACAATACTGGAACTCCACATCTGATATACAACACAGAACACTGGGACAGACAATACTGGAACTCCACATCTGATATACAACACAGAACACTGGGACAGACAATACTGGAACTCCACATCTGATATACAACACAGAACACTGGGACAGACAATACTGGAACTCCACATCTGATATACAACACAGAACACTGGGACAGACAATACTGGAACTCCACATCTGATATACAACACAGAACACTGGGACAGACAATACTGGAACTCCACATCTGATATACAACACAGAACACGGGGACAGACAATACTGGAACTCCACATCTGATATACAACACAGAACACTGGGACAGACAATACTGGAACTCCACATCTGATATACAACACAGAACACTGGGACAGACAATACTGGAACTCCACATCTGATATACAACACAGAACACTGGGACAGACAATACTGGAACTCCACATCTGATATACAACACAGAACACTGGGACAGACAATACTGGAACTCCACATCTGATATACAACACAGAACACTGGGACAGACAATACTGGAACTCCACATCTGATATACAACACAGAACACTGGGACAGACAATACTGGAACTCCACATCTGATATACAACACAGAACACTGGGACAGACAATACTGGAACTCCACATCTGATATACAACACAGAACACTGGGACACAGACAATACTGGAACTCCTCATCTGATATACAACACAGAACACGGGGACAGACAGTATTGGAACTCCTCATCTGATATATAACACAGAACACTGGGACACACACAATACTGGAACTCCTCAGCTGGAACAGACAATATTGGAACTCAACATCTGATATACAAAACAGAACACTGGGACAGACTACATTGTAACTCCACATCTGATATACAACACAGAACACTGGGACAGACAATATTGTAACTCCACATCTGATATACAACACAGAACACTAGGACAGACAATACTGGAACTCCTCATCTGATATACAACACAGAACACTGGGACAGACAATATTGGAACTCCAAATCTGATGTACAACATAGACCACTGGGACAGACAATATTGGAACTCCACATCTGATATACAACACAGAACACTGGGACAGACGATATTGTAACTCCACATCTGATATACAACACAGACCACTGGGACAGACAATATTGGAACTCCACATCTGATATACAACACAGACCACTGGGACAGACGATAGTGAACTCCTCTGATGTACCAGAACGGCAAACTTGTATCCCCGCCTACAACAAGAACTGCAGGAACATATTAAAATATTTTAAAATGAACAAGGCAAAGTATTGCAAGCAATCCCCCCTGGTAATGCCATTTTTGTACAGCGACACATGCAGCACTCAAGCAGCGAAGACCTACTTGAATACAAAATCTTGTTACTCCAGGTGAAGAAGTATAGAAAACTGTTTCAAAGGGTTGTGGTCAAATCTTAAAAAATAGGTTATAGTGATATACTTCTTGTACTCTGCATTAGCAAGTCTGGTTACTCCAGGTAAAAAAGTACAAAATATGTCCAAGACATTTTTTTTCAACTGTTGAGGTAAAAAGTCACAACAATTGGTCACAGTGACATATTCTTTGTACTTGACCCTCCGCCATCCCAAGTAGTATTTACCTACCAAATCTAGTTACTTAAAGCGAAACAATATAGAAGATATGCCCAAGACAAGCTTTTACAAAGATTGAAGTTTAAAGGTCAAACTATAGTTCTCAGTAATGTACTTTCGGTACTTGACATGTACACTCCACCATCCCAAGATGTTCATGTATTTACCTACCGAATCTAGTTACTCTAGGTGATATAGTATAGATGATATGACACAGACATAACTTTAGCAGAATTCTGTAAAATGGCCGCGTAACATTTTAATCCAAAACTTCAGTATGATTGCCTCAGTGAAGAAAAATCATGAACAAAATTCTGCTAAAAAATGTAGGGGTTGTCCCCACAAGATTGTATCTAGACAGACAGACAGACAGACAGACAGACAGACAAGACAAGACAGACAGACAGACACACAGACAGACGGAAGGTCAAATAGAAAATCCAATTCCAGTATATCCCACTCCCCTAACTTCATTGCAGGGGGTATAATTAGTTCTCAATTCCCTCTGGTATAATACAAAGCTAGCCAGAAATAGCTGGATGTGATAAATCAATCATGTGTGGTATAATACAAAGCTAGCCAGAAATAGCTGGATGTGATAAATCAGTCATGTGTGGATTAATACAAAGCTAGCCAGAAATAGCTGGATGTGATAAATCAGTCATGTGTGGATTAATACAAAGCTAGCCAGAAATAGCTGGATGTGATAAATCAGTCATGTGTGGATTAATACAAAGCTAGCCAGAAATAGCTGGATGTGATAAATCAGTCATGTGTGGATTAATACAAAGCTAGCCAGAAATAGCTGGATGTGATAAATCAGTCATGTGTGGATTAATACAAAGCTAGCCAGAAATAGCTGGATGTGATAAATCAGTCATGTGTGGATTAATACAAAGCTAGCCAGAAATAGCTGGATGTGATAAATCAGTCATGTGTGGATTAATACAAAGCTAGCCAGAAATAGCTGGATGTGATAAATCAGTCATGTGTGGATTAATACAAAGCTAGCCAGAAATAGCTGGATGTGATAAATCAGTCATGTGTGGATTAATACAAAGCTAGCCAGAAATAGCTGGATGTGATAAATCAGTCATGTGTGGATTAATACAAAGCTAGCCAGAAATAGCTGGATGTGATAAATCAGTCATGTGTGGATTAATACAAAGCTAGCCAGAAATAGCTGGATGTGATAAATCAGTCATGTGTGGATTAATACAAAGCTAGCCAGAAATAGCTGGATGTGATAAATCAGTCATGTGTGGATTAATACAAAGCTAGCCAGAAATAGCTGGATGTGATAAATCAGTCATGTGTGGATTAATACAAAGCTAGCCAGAAATAGCTGGATGTGATAAATCAGTCATGTGTGGATTAATACAAAGCTAGCCAGAAATAGCTGGATGTGATAAATCAGTCATGTGTGGATTAATACAAAGCTAGCCAGAAATAGCTGGATGTGATAAATCAGTCATGTGTGGATTAATACAAAGCTAGCCAGAAATAGCTGGATGTGATAAATCAGTCATGTGTGGATTAATACAAAGCTAGCCAGAAATAGCTGGATGTGATAAATCAGTCATGTGTGGATTAATACAAAGCTAGCCAGAAATAGCTGGATGTGATAAATCAGTCATGTGTGGATTAATACAAAGCTAGCCAGAAATAGCTGGATGTGATAAATCAGTCATGTGTGGATTAATACAAAGCTAGCCAGAAATAGCTGGATGTGATAAATCAGTCATGTGTGGATTAATACAAAGCTAGCCAGAAATAGCTGGATGTGATAAATCAGTCATGTGTGGATTAATACAAAGCTAGCCAGAAATAGCTGGATGTGATAAATCAGTCATGTGTGGATTAATACAAAGCTAGCCAGAAATAGCTGGATGTGATAAATCAGTCATGTGTGGATTAATACAAAGCTAGCCAGAAATAGCTGGATGTGATAAATCAGTCATGTGTGGATTAATACAAAGCTAGCCAGAAATAGCTGGATGTGATAAATCAGTCATGTGTGGATTAATACAAAGCTAGCCAGAAATAGCTGGATGTGATAAATCAGTCATGTGTGGATTAATACAAAGCTAGCCAGAAATAGCTGGATGTGATAAATCAGTCATGTGTGGATTAATACAAAGCTAGCCAGAAATAGCTGGATGTGATAAATCAGTCATGTGTGGATTAATACAAAGCTAGCCAGAAATAGCTGGATGTGATAAATCAGTCATGTGTGGATTAATACAAAGCTAGCCAGAAATAGCTGGATGTGATAAATCAGTCATGTGTGGATTAATACAAAGCTAGCCAGAAATAGCTGGATGTGATAAATCAGTCATGTGTGGTATAATACAAAGCTAGCCAGAAATAGCTGGATGTGATAAATCAGTCATGTGTGGATTAATTGTCTGTGATGTTGCATTCTACATGTAGTTTGTTTTATTCTTGAATCAGAAATAACACAGATTTATATACCTGTAAATAAAATACACTGCCCATGACGTTGTTTTCTAGTATTGAAAAAATATAAAGAAAACAACAGGATCACTGAGAGAAGATTTATTTATACATAATAAAAATTTGACTTTCATTACATAATACAATTGTACGATTATGTAAATCGTGGTTTGTTATACACCATCGTTAATTACTATAGTAAATATCATCACAATCAATGATCTGGCTAATTAACCCTTTCACCCCTATATACCTTTAGTAGACTCAACCAGGCATAGACCTAGACAAGTCCATCATGGTCTACAGTGGTGAAAGGGTTAATGACAACCAGTGTAATTTTAGTTGTCAAGAGTTACAAACAAGCACAGTACTCTCTAACAGAAGTATTTAGGCTTCCTTCGGTGGTTAAAACCTCTCGTGGTCTGCTGGTCTGTTTGGAAGTTTTTTTTTGGTTTCACTTCAACTATACAAACCAGGAAACTTAGTACACAGCCAAATTTTACTGTGATACATTAAAAAACACACAGGTGTTCATTTAAACACATCACAAAAAGTGAGAAATTTCTCTCCTTTCCTTTTTTAAAGTATGTTGTTTGTTCCTTTACAGTAAGAATTTCCCCGTCTTTCTCCGGTTGATCATATTGTGTCACTTTTACTGTTCATGCTCATCATCTGTATATTTATATATAGTGACAGATGCGCTCATCCAGTGGATATTAAAATGTCATGAGATCACAAATAATTTCCAATAAAGAAACTTCCTTTCAGTACATGTTTTTTATAAAGTATATATACAACTGTCATGATGGTGTGTTTAGTGAAGCCCCCCCCCCCCCCCCCCCCCAACCCTGAGGTCTATCACAACACGAAGAGTTACTCTGTAATATAGTAATATATAAACCTCAGAGCCTTCCAACCCTCAGATCTATCACAACACCAAGAGTTACCTCGGTAATATATAAACCTCAGAGTGTCCTGTCCTGGTGAATTATATTATTATTCTCTTTCATGTATTATTTATTTTATAAATTCTCTTGTAACCAGTTCATCAAGTTGTCACATAATTTCACATGTCTCAGAACTACATTGTCACCAATGACACTCTCTGCCTGCACCGTGACCAATGACACTCTCTGCCTGCACCGTGACCAATGACACTCTCTGCCTGCACCGTGACCAATGACTCTCTCTGCCTGCACCGTCACAAATGACACTCTCTGCCTGCACCATCACCAAAGACTCTCTGCCTGCACCGTCACAAATGACACTCTCTGCCTGCACCATGCTGTTTCCTGAAGAAGCTTGGGCTCACATTTTTATGGTTGCCTGAGGTATCTTGCATACCTAGATATAGGAGTCATCTATAGTCCTTCTGAAACCAATCGGTTCTCCCAGGTTGTTGACTTATAGTTCCCGTGGTAACCAGTATGAAAAACTTGAGCTATGAAAGATTTTCTCAAATGGCATGACACTGTGTACAACAATCACCTTCATCGTACAAAATCAGACAGATGCTTCGTTTGGTTAATTTGGCTAGTGGTTTCATCATAAAATCCACTGGAGATCACATCACCGATAGTTTCCCTGGTAACCTCCTCGGTTTCCATAGCCACCACGACCACCTCTGAAGTTGCCATGGTTTCTGTTAGACTGATAACTATCATGGTAGTTCCCCTGTCTTCTATCATCTCTGCCGTCTCGAGAATACTGACTGTTTCCATGGTAATTACGATTGTCACGGTGACCTTGGTAGTTATGGTGATCTTGATTGCCATGGTAATTTCTATTGTCTGAATGTCTCCGATTTCTGTAAAACAATACATCTGATATCAGTATCATTTCAGGAGTAACTAACGATGCTATTCAAGATGTATTGGTCTATACTGTATACATTTAACATACCAACTGTCACATTCATAACCAATGATTCTGAATTGTTTGTCATTTGTAAATTAAAACAAATGAACATTCATATTGACAACAGAAAAGGCAGGTACAATAACAAAATGATAAAATCTCTGCTCATTTCCAAAAAAGCTTAAGACGGTTAAGAATGAGTTTCTAGTGTGTATTTTAAGTAACATTCGTAGATCATAAATGATGCCATTTTGAAAGGAAAATACCTATATCACAACAATCAAAGTAGGATGCTAGAGGGAGGTAACTGAGGAAAGGTACAAAGATAGTTTTCTATTGGAAATTTTCTTTAATATGACCAGGTTCCTGTTACACAAACATATTTTTCACCATTTCCTTGATTTTGATGAATTTGAAGCAATGATTTTTTTCCCCAAAGCAAAATTGTTTTTCTTATTTTGACTCGAAGAGAATACTCTCCATGTCTTAAGTTCTAAAAATTAATAGATATAACTCATTGCTAAATATTCACATCCAAAACTGTGAGAGATTGTGGACCATTACCATACCTTAACATTCCAAGGCCTTATGTTTCACAAAGTTTTAAAAACATTTTATTTCTGAAGTATATAGAATTTTTGCAGCGATTAATGTCAAATGGTAGAAATCACACAAACTGAGGAACAAAGCATGTATCAACCAAAACCTGATGACAGGAATAGTTAGGACCTCTCAGATTGATGAAAAACTGAAAACCAAATAGGTAAGCATACTAATGACAAAAAGTGAGAATTTCCACAAAATGATGACACAAAAATCGTACCCGTCATCCTTGTTGGATCTTCCATGGTTTCTGTCCCAGTCTCTACCGGAGTCATGTGACCTGTCACCATGGTGATCCCCGTGTGACCTGTAGTTGCCCTGTGATCTGTTGTCACGGTAATCAGATTTTGATGACCTATCATCATATCTGGAACCTTGATTTCTTGATCTGTCCTTGTCGTCATAGTGATCCTGTAAGTTAAAAAAAATTGCATATTTAAATATCTTTTATACTGAAGGAAAAAGAATGAAACAAGACTTTCTGTATGAAAATATATCACTGTCAATACAAGGAAACCAGTTTGGCTTCAATAAAGTGTAAAGTTAAACAGAAACATAAAATTTAATCTAGAAAGTGTCATATTTTGTAACAGATTCTTCAGACTATTTCAACTCACATTAATTTTCTCTTAATTAAAGTGTATTTTCCTTTACATGTATGAATTAAAAGTATTTTCAGCAAAAAGAACACAGAGGAATGTCAAAAGTTTATAATAGGCGATACAGGCGATAATTTAGTTTACAAAAGATCACCAGGGCCGTTTTCGTTTCAACTGTTAAACCAGTTGTTCGTTTATTAAATAGGGTCGGACGTAGTAATCTAATACTGCTTTCAGGCTAGCCTTGACAAAGCCTTGCAAGGCCTGCGTAAACATTTGCAGGTCCGCTAGGATTTAAACTCAATTTTTTTACATTTATAAACGGACAAACCGGTTGTTCCGCATAAACGAACAGGCTCCAGAATGTTTCATTATAAAGTAAAGCTTGCGGACAGTATGCAGTACAAACACATGACACAACGATGGTACAAAACCTACCCTGTCTCTTGAATGCTGTCTGTAGCTATCCCCACTGCTCTTTCTGTCCTCTCGTCTGGAGTTATCTCCTTTTCCATCTGAGTTTGAATTATCTCCCTTGCTTCTTGAGTTGTTTCCTTTTCCTTCTGGAGATGTGTGGCTTCCCCTTTCCTGTGAATTGTCTTCCTTCCTTGGAGTAGTTGAGTTATCTCCCTTGTCCTTTGAGTTGTCTCCCTTCTCTTCAGAAGATGAATCCTTTGCCTTGTTAATGTCTTCACTTTCATTTATGGAAGCAGATTTTTCTTCCAATTTTTCTTCAGATGAATCAATGTTTTCAGTTCCATCAGGGCAGGTATTTGTCTCCATCTGTTCTGGAGTGGCCACTTCTGCGTCAACATTGCCATCTGACGACTGACACTCTTTAGACGAAGACTGCGTTTCTGTGTTTGTATCTTCTGAAATATTTTCTCCTTCAATGGCATTAGAGGTGCCTTCAACATTTTCTGGAGAATTCTTTTCACATACTTCAGATTCAGTTGTATCTCCAATCGTGCCCATGTTAGCTTCCGGTGAATCTGTTTTCTCTCTCTTTGATTCTGTTGTATCTCCAATCGTGCCCATGTTAGCTTCCGGTGAATCTGTTTTCTCTATCTTTGATTCTGTAGTATCTTCCATCGTGTCAATGCTACCTTCAGGTGAATTAATTTTCTCTATTTTTGAATTACTATTTTCTGTATATCCCCGACTTGTTTCATCCTGATTATGAGATCCCTCGGAGGCTGCACTCATTTCCTCCTCCCCATTTGAGGAAATGGCTACATCGTCTTTCCGTTCTATATCTGTATTATCTCCATTGTTATGGGAGTTGTCTCCCTTCCCTTCCACACTTTCTTGTGACTCCGAATCCTCTAACAAGTCCTTTTCCTCATCCTCAGAAACTTTAGAATCTAACACTGCTTCCATATCATCCTTTGATGAGACTTTATCTTCGTTTTCATCCTTCAATAGATCATCAATTTCCTTGTCATCTAAATGATCAACATCATCATCTTTTAATTTTTCCTTTGTCACAATAGCACTGTCAAAATCCTCATTCAGTTTCGACCCATCCCCTCCAATTTCAGGTGTATCATTTAACTGTTCTCGTTCCTCACTACTATTTCTGACCTCTGACCTTTCTGAGGTATCCTCTAACAAAGTTTCAGGTGATTTTTCAGGCTCACCTGTCACACTTGGTGACGATATCGTCACATCTGATACAGATGATTTTTGAACAACTTTGTCACCAGATTCATCAAGTTCACTTTCACCTGACTTTTGATCAGAACTGTTTGTAACTGTAGCACTTTCTGAATCTAATGTCTCCGAGTCTTTTGTCTCTGGTTTGGATTCGTCAATGTTGTCATCCACAATATTTTGTAACGTCGCCTTTAACTCGTCCGACAAAGACACGTCCATATCTGCATCGTCTTCGTCTTCACTCATCTTCATATCTTCGGCCTACAAATGGAAATACACATTTCAGTCAAGTACCTGGTAAATGTTTAGTTTGTTTTGATCACAAAAAGTAATTGAAAACTTATTTTGCAAGCTTTAGAAGTCTGTTTCCAATAAGGGGCGGAATGGGTAAACATGTTACCTGGCCCTCTCACCGCCTGTAGTATTAGAGTGCTATTTGGCGAAAAGTCTCTAGGATTTCTTAGTGAGTTGTTTTCTGTGGTTTAGAGTAGAGACTCTGGTCATTTGCACTCTTTGCTCTTCTTCTAAAGCTCGCAAAATAAGTTTTCAATTATTGTTTGTATTCAAAACAAATTGATGAATCTCATTCTGAACAAATCTCAGTCGTTTGTCACTAAGTACACCATGGCGTTACAGTAGGGATAATCCTGGTAGGGCCATGGGACCATTGACCCCTCAAAACTGTAATTGACCCCTCCATATTCCAATTTACTTTGAATTTTACAAAGCATGGGCCCTCTTAATTTTGATATTGACCAAAAATTGCTGAAAATGGCCCAGCACTCTCAATTTTCAGGACTTTCCATGTGTTACTTTCATTTAGTAAATGCAATTAAGATACAACCAACTTAATATTAGGATATTTACATTCCAAAAAAATAAATATACATTTCAAGTTTTTTGAAAATGAAAAGAGAGAAATACCTTGTTTTAAATAAGCAATAAATTATTTCCGGTGTTCGAGATTGGAAACCTTCCAAAAGAATTGGAAGAAGTAGACTGTTTTTTCTCATTTGAACAAAAATCTTTTTGTGCACATTTCTTAATCTTTTATTGAAATTAACTCCAAGCTAAAAGGATGTTTAAGATAAGGCTACACTTAAATCTTGATAAAAAGCATGATCCGAAAATAAGCCTCGGATTCCTTCCTAAAAATGAAACATAAGACACAACTTGTTTTTAACCTACAAACAATACATCAAGTATGTGATCAATATTACCTCAAAACAATGCTTTATATCTGTGATTAAACCTTTACCATATACTGTAAATCTGTGATTAAACCTTTACCATATACTGTAAATCTGTGATTAAACCTTTACCATATACTGTAAATCTGTGATTAAACCTTTACCATATACTGTAAATCTGTGATTAAACCTTTACCATATACTGTAAATCTGTGATTAAACCTTTACCATATACTGTAAATCTGTGATTAAACCTTTACCATATACTGTAAATCTGTGATTAAACCTTTACCATATACTGTAAATCTGTGATTAAACCTTTACCATATACTGTAAATCTGTGATTAAACCTTTACCATATACTGTAAATCTGTGATTAAACCTTTACCATATACTGTAAATCTGTGATTAAACCTTTACCATATACTGTAAATCTGTGATTAAACCTTTACCATATACTGTAAATCTGTGAATGTATTAACTTCTCCCCAAAAATACACAAATCAATGAATGTTTTGACCTACCCCTAGGAATACAGAAGTCTTTGATGGTATTGCCGAGTCCTTTATTTTCACCGTAGTCCACTTTTGCATTCCTGTCAACTCTGGAGGAATGTCCTCTGTTTCTGTTTTCTGTGAGGGGGCAGAGTCGACTCTCTCCGAGGACTCCGCCTTCATGTTGGTCAAAACTGGTGGCTCGTCCCAGGACGGACGTCGGATCACTTCTGAAAATTTGGAAAAGATATTTGTATTTTACACTGATCCTTGTTAAATCACTTTGTTGTCTGAATTCTGGTTGGGATTTTTAAGTTTTATGCTAAATCAAGCAAATTTATATCCATGAAGATAAAGTCATATTTGCATGAGAAAATTTTAAAAAAATCCTGCCAAGACAGATTTTTAAAAAAGTTATCGGAGTTTATTTTTCTTCACATAATAGTATTGACCTTGAAACCAAATCAACATTTCTTAAAACTACAACAAATTATTATGTTTGTTTTCCCTGAATATGGCAAATAAACATAAAAAATATCATTGTTGGTAAAATCCTAGATCTAGATCACGTGAAGAATATACTACTTCACTCAAGAAATTTCGAATATCTTTCCAAAATTTAAAGAAATAATTGAGATCATCAAAATATGTCTGTAAAAAAAATTAAATTAGGAAAAAAACTTCTCATTTCCTTTCCTGCTTGACTGTCAAAGTATTGTCGTTGTGTACTGGCCAGAAGAACAGCCAGCCAACCACTTAGGTACTACACACATAGAAGTTGGTCTTGTACCAGACAACCACTTAGGTACTACACACATACAAGTTGGTCTTGTACCAGTCAACCACTTAGGTACTACACACATAGAAGTTGGTCTTGTACCAGCCAACCAGTTAGGTACTACACACATACAAGTTGGTCTTGTACCAGACAACCACTTAGGTACCACACACATAGAAGTTGGTCTTGTTATGTTTCAAATTTCAATTAGACAGAGGCCTGTTATATGAGATAACATCTACACAGACAAACATCGAGACTGAGACATGTGAGTGACGTGTACAAAAGACATGTGAGACATGTCAGGAGGTATATATGAGGATGCATAAATATCTTGGTAACAAGCACAAGCTTTTTATTTTTTTTTAGATTTTGTATACATTTTGTACAAAACATTGGACGGCTATGTTTAGATTTCTATACATTTTGTACAAAGCATTGGACGGCTGTGTTTAGATTTGTATACATTTTGTACAAAGCATTGGACGGCTGTGTTTAGATTTGTATACATTTTGTACAAAGCATTGGACGGCTGTGTTTAGATTTGTATACATTTTGTACAAAGCATTGGACGGCTGTGTTTAGATTTGTATACATTTTGTACAAAGCATTGGAC